TGATGTTCGCAAAACAAAGCGACTTGGTAGTGCCCTGACATTTCTCACGCGGTACAGTGATGAGGAAGAAAACTTTTTAAACCAAATTGTGACAGGTGATGAAACTTGGGTGTGTCATTTTACACCAGTATCGAAACAACAATCGATGGAGTGGAGACACACTCATTCTCTGAAAAAACAAAAGTTCAAAGTGACAATGTCATCACAAAAATTCATGTGCACTGTCTTCTGGGATAGGAAAGGCGTTTTTGCTTACTGAATTTCTTCCCAGAGGTGGGAAATGAAACCATTAATGCGGCACGATATTGTGAAACTTTAACAAAACTAAGACGTGCCATTCAAAACAAACGAAGAGGAATGCTCAGTAAAGGAATTGTGTTGCTCGATGACAATGCTCGGCCCCATACTGCTGGTGTCACTCTATCGTTAATTCGACAGTTTCATTGGGAGCAGTTCGATCACCCGCCGTACAGCCCGGACTTGGCGCCGCCCAACTATCACTTGTTCCTTCCTGCACATGAAGCGCGAGCTTGGTGGCAAGCGCTTTGGATCTGACGATGACACGAAAAATGCTGTGGAGTCGTGGTTATCGAAACTGGCGGGAAATTTCTTTGATGATGGTATACAAAAACTGGTCACCCGGTATGACAAGTGTTGGATCATTGGCGGAAACTATGTTGAAAAATAGTTTAAGACATGTATTTTCATGTAAAAATAAAATTGGATTCGAAAAATTTGTTTTACTTTTTTTTTTTTTTTTTTTTCAAAACGGTACTTAGTTTCCGGTTGATTTTAAAATTTTCTTAATTTTGCTGTTGATTTATATATGGCGTATTGATGCTTAATAATAAAGTTAAAAAGACAAAAAATAAAGCGTATTGGTTAGCAAGAGAGAGTGCAAGAGCAGACTGGGAAACTCCCAGCTCAGCGAGAGCGAAAGAAACCTTAACAAACCCATTTGGGCGACCTTTAAATCTAAAACTTTCATATTTTTTTTTTTTTTAGATTCTTTTGTAGTATTGCATTTTGATGTATTTTCATGATTAAGTTCGCTTGAAACTTAAAACACACTGCGCCTAAGCATTAAAATGCAAACCCCTAAACCAGACATAAATGACATTTAATATCATGCATGTAAGCTCAATTTCAAATGCTTATTATAACTTTTTAATATTAACCTTTATGGTATAAGCTCAGAGCTGTGTAAATCATATTACTGCCTATTCACATATAATATCCTCTTTGTTTAGTTTACACATCAAACAAATCGATGAATGTAAAAAAGAGAACACATATTTTGAGGGGAAAGAAAAAAATATGCATTAATCAAAGTGTTTTGGTTTCATCACTCTTATTGTTCGGCTGATGCTTTCATTAAAAGTGGATTAGAAGTAAAAAATATCCCTTTGGGGTTTACCTTTTACTCGTAAGATTTAGTCTTGATTAATGATTTGTTGGTGTTAATGATACAAGCACCGTGCTTAATTTCTAGGCTTGCTGATGAAAGTATTGCTATTTGAGTACATCATGCATCAAATATAGCATTTAGTACTTTAGTGCAGTGGTGCGAAAACGTTTTTTGACTGCGACACCTTTTGTAGAGAGAACATTTTGGGCGACCCCTAGAGCTAATGTTCACAAATACGATGTATATTTCGCGCATTTCTTTTGTTTCATCGAATAAAAATATCATCATATCTGACTCATATTAATTTTATTTAGAATTTTAAGAAAATACTTTTTGTATAACACAAAAATCAGCAAATTGCCCTTTAATGAGATGTATGTGGCTGTAAGTTTCTAATTATCTCATGCATGTTTGGATGTATGTTGCTAATTGCAATTCGCATATCATCTTCAGGGTTTAAACGCAAGCGGTATTTAGTTTTTATTCAAACTAGTTTGCTAAATCCAGTTTCACATAAATACGTTGATGCAAATTGTATTAACACTCTGATGGCATTCTTGTATGAAACGGGATATTTTTTTTTCCACGGATAGCCAAAATTTTTGGCAAGGCTGAGTCTTGATTTCGAAGAGTATAATCACTAATTAGATCTATCAATTGCTCTTTCTCACTAATTTGAAGAGTTGAACTGCATATGTCAAAGGAAAATGGATCACGAATCCAACCAAGATCGTTTTCAGGAAAATCCTCGAATCTTCTCGAAAAAATTTTCCTTTAACTTTTCAATGTGATTGGAAATGATGTTTTTAAATGTAAATATATCTATATTATTTTCCTTGATAAAATCGTTAAAGCAAGGGAACATGTCGGTGTTTTGTTTTTATTCAGTTCAGTTTGCCAGAGACTAAGCTTATTCTTAAAAAGCTTGAATTTCCATGGAAGTTATGATAGTTGAATTCTCACCCTGCAAGCTCAAATTTAAGTCGTTAAGTTTTTCGAAAATATCAACTAAATAGCTCAGCTTCCCTAGCCAAACTTCATTGATATAATAACTTGCCAATCTATGTTTCCTTTCGATTAAAAACATGTACACTTCATTTCTCAAATCAAATATCCATCGTAGTATTTTCCCACGTGAAAGCCATCTGACTTCGGTGTATAACAGTAATCTCTCATACGTTGAGCCCATCTCATTGCAAAGTATTGAAAAGAGACGGCTGTTGTGGCTGTTGCATTTAATGTAGTTAATTAATTGAACTAACAGCGTCTTGTAATATGTTGTGCAACTCTTCATCCATATCTTTTGCAACAAGAGCTTGCCGATGAATCATACAGTGATTAAATACCATATGAGGCGCCACCTTCTGAATTAAGCCTCTGAGCCCTTTATTCGAACCTGTTAATGTTAATGCTGCAGCACCATCAGTACAAACCGCAACACAGTTTGCCCAGGTAAGGGACTTTGTTTCAAAATATTCATTTATTACTTCGAATATTTTTTCTCCAGTTGTTTTTCCTTCCAAACTTTTGCAACATAAAAACGTTTCTGTTATATCTTCATTAAAAATAAACCTAACGTAAATAATTAGTTGTGACATTTTAGTAATATCGGTAGTCTCGTCCAGTTGTAAAGCAAATACAGATGAATTTTGTATGCGTTTTATGACTTCTGACTCGATATTTCGTGACATTTCGGAAATCCGCCGAGACACGGTATCTCTTGATAATGGTATTGTTTTTAGTTCATTTCCATATTTATCGCCATGCATAATTGATGTCATCTTAGTTGCTGCAGGAAGGATAAGGGATTCTCCAATTGTATGGGGTTTCATTGTTTTTCCTATTAGATAAGAAACTTCTAAAGAAGCTCGTAATGCTTTCTGAGGTATTGTTGTAAATTTCTTTAAATGTGCACTTTGAATTTTCAGATTTTCAGCTCGTCTTTGAAAAAAAAAAAAAATCGGCATGTTTATTTTGAAGTTCTTTATGTTTAGTTTCCAGGTGCCTTTTTAATTTAGCTGGTTTCATGCTCTCATTTGCTAATTTTTCGTTGCAAATGACACATATCGGGCGTTCTTCATCATCAACAACACAAAATGTAAAACCATACTTAATAAATTCCTCATTGTATTTTCTTATTTTTTTAGATCGGGCATTTAGTTCAGTATTTTGCGACTCTCTCATCAGTATTTGTTCGTTTGTTAGCTGAAGATGTACCTGGTGTACGTATTACCCATTTATCCATTATGAAGATAGGGGTTAAATTATTTAAACTAAAACAAATAATATATAAAATTTTATCATTTTTTTTTCGAGAAATTCAATAAAATTAACAGAGATCTTTCTCTAATGATAGTACATACCTGATAACAAAGAGTAGCAAAGCCCGATAAAAAATAAAAAAAAAAATCATAATTACACAACGTCACATGATAAAACTCGAGGATAAACTAAAAACAATTGCAGGCCAACTGCTACATGCTACAACTTCATGCGAACACTTCACGTCTTCACTCTGACTATCAGATACACCCGCGTACCTCGCCATCTGATTGGCTGATCACGGAAGCGAATTTTTCCCCTTTCCCTGCGGTTAACGTCTAGTCAAATAGGCGCTTTTTAGTAAAACTGTACCGCGAAGATTGCGCTATCTACCTGAGTGAAAAACTTTCGTCTATACACTTTAGATACATTACGCATTACGGTCAAAGAAAGAGCAAACAGCATGAAATTGCAATTAAACAGTGAGTGACGGCGCTTCACTCTTTATATGTACACTGTATGGTATGCAGCATGCAGGCATAATGTATTTCATAAGAATTTGGCGACCCCCCAAAAAACTTCTCGCGCAACCCACAGGGGTCGCGACCCCTAGTTTGCGCACCACTGCTTTAGTGAATAAAAGTTGAAAATGAATGTTAAATAATTTTATAAAGCATTTATAATAGTCTGTATTAATATGAATTATAGATCCCGTTAATTTTACTACCGTTTCCTTTTATATATATAAACAGCGTCTGACGTTAAAGAAAACTATATTTCTTCAGTGCAGCAGGCATGCGATTATTATATGATTAATATTTCATAAACTTGTGCTTGGTCAAGTTAATATTTTACTAAAGATATTGCGTAATAAAATAAAATGTTAGAACCAAGTATTTTAATTAAATATTTCAATTAAAATAATGTCACAAATGATACTACAGTTAAATTAAAAATATTTAGTTAATAGCATATTTTGATTAAATTTACTAAAATATAGAAGCAATTGGATATTTAATTTTATTTTCTTATTTCCTTATATTAGAATGGGAAGTTCGCACTCACGATTTGTAGCTCATAAAAAATTTAGAATAATTTAAAATTTCGTCACTTTCTAATACTTCCAGTTCATATTTAAGAAAATATTTGCTTCCATTTCTAAATATCTTGTTTAACCGTAAACAAAAACATCACGGCGATTTAGTTCTATAATTTTCAAATAATAACTATATTTACATTAAAGAATTTTTAATCAGCATAGCTCGTATCAACTAAATTACTCGGTGTAACGCTAAGGTAAAATAAATATGAAAAACTTAATTGCTTTCAGATGTGAGACGCCTCTGAAAAAAGAATTAGAAGACATTCAAGATACCAGTGAAAAAGGACCAGATATCATTCCTCCATTCGCTAACGAAACAGAAGGTAATATTTAAAATTTATTTTCTTTAATATTTTAGATTTTAAAAATAATATGATGTATTTGAAAAACATAGATTTGTTATTGAAGTTTTGATATTCTGGGATAAATTATGATTACAATGTTTAAATGAATTTTAATATGCTCAAATTATAGATTCGTTTTTACATTGCTTATTTATTTAAAATTTAAAATCCCCGATTGCAAAATTTATTTTCACAATTATATTCGGACACGTTTTGATTCAATCCAGAACTTTTGTGTTATAGGTATGCATAGCACATTATCATGTAATGTTAAAAGAAATAAAACCTAAATACTTCTGACGTTGCAACGTACACTGCCCTCCAAAAGTTAAGGAAGAGCATGTTTTCTGTGTCTAATTTGAGAATGAAGCAGCATAGAAACCAGAAATTTAGAAGACATGTTAACTAAACAGCTCTTTAATGAAGTCGACATAGAATGTTTCTAAAGTTCAACACAAATATGAATTACAACAAAATATTGCATTCTTGGCGGAGAAATCCAGTCTTGGAGAAACAGTATATCACTTTTTGAGGAAAACCTGGGGTGATAACATTACAAAAATGGATTCAAATAAGGAATGTGTCCACCCCTAGCTGCAATAAATTGGCGGCGCGGTGTTCCATGCTGTCATTGTTGACAGTGAAATGGGAAGCAATTGAAGAAGTTGAGGGAAGCAAGTTGTTGGTCAGTGAAATGGGAAGCAATGACCAGACACGGAGTAATCCTTGTTCAAGCTCATATGACGACCTTGGAAGAGGACATAGAGCAGAAACCTGTCTTCCAAGGTAGTCCCAAAGATGCTGTATCAGATTCAGGTCTGTGAATTCAACTGGCCATTCCATCTGCTCCATGCAGTTACCCTCAAGGTATTCTTCAACAACCCGAACTCGATGCGGTCGCTCATTGTCGTCCATCAGGAGAAATCCAGGAGCAATAGCAGCGGCATATGGGTGGTCATATTAATCAAGGATCTAGTCTTGATATCTCACACCGATCACCCCATGGAACACATGCAGGTCAGCGTGACCACCGAGAGAGATCCCAGCTCAAACCATTATTCCACCACCTCTTTAAATGTGTTTTTCCACAATGTGGGATTGGTTGTATCTTTTGCGTTGTTCCATCCAGATCAGCTGGCGACCTGAATCGCTTTCTAATGTGAACCTGAATTCGTTTGTGTAGAGAGCAGACGCCCATTGTTGACTGGTCCAGGAGATGCGTTCTCTTGCCCATTTTAAACGGGCACTTCTGTGTCCTCGGTCAAGGGGACACAAACAATATATGTTGCATATACACCTGAATTGTACAGGTATCTGCGCACTGTAGTAGCTGAGATTCTTGCTCCAGTTGACACTAAATAATCTGCCATGAGCTGAGGTACAGTAGTGTTACTGCTCCTTCGGGTCGCAAGAACTAAGTAGCGGTCTCCCTCAGGTGTAGTAAATCGAGTTCTGCCTGAAACATAGGCACAGAATCCTCGGATTCAAACTGATTCTATAATCGGTGGACGACACTACGAGACATTTTGAGATGTCTAGCAGCATCAGCTTGTGACATCTCCATTTCCAACCATCCGATAGCCCGCCATCTCAATGAATCGGGCAAACGACTTCTCCTGGACAATGTTAGACTCTCGTGGATATTTTCAACGAAATTGGTAATAACAGTTGAAGATCAACACTCGTGAACAAACTTTCAAATTTTGCCTTTTTCCTCCAACTACTATATAATTATTTCTTTCGCTAAAATAAAGTTTAGCGATTATTTTCTGCATATATTTTCTTAAACTTCGTTTCTAGCATACATATAAATTGTGAATTTAAATATTACTGACATTTTTGTAATGTAGAGCCTTCAAAACATCCTGTTCCTTAACTTTTGTAGCCCAGTGTATATTTTAGATTTTATTTTGAAAATAGAAATATACAAAGATTCACTTCACTTTTATATTTAATTATTATTAGGTTTACAACCTGTAAAATGTTTATCTATTGCAGAGATTACCTGTTCCAGAGAGTATAATATAAGTTGCAGTATTAATGCTAAACATCATTTCTTTGATGCCATATATACTCGCGTATTTTTGCGACTAAAGGTTTCGCCCCGAGTTCTGAAAATTATAAAACTTTTCGAGTAATTTTCCCCTTCCACAATGCGTTTAGAGAAATAGCTGTCCTGAATTTCAGAATGGATTGGTCCTCATAGCGATTGCTTACAACTTACTAATAAGCACAAACTCTGACAAGCTACCTGAGAAGTTCATGCTGAAAGCTTCCCCATCTACCTTTTATGCAGACCTAATACAAGAATCTATCAATCACATGGAAATAAATATGAACTGACATTCAGCCTACGATTTCGCTGAGTCAGCTGCACATTCAACGTTTCTAAATGTCAATGGGTGATTTGAGATCTGATGAGTAGCACAGACAATAATAGAAGAGGTGGAATTAAAGAGAATAATAAATGATTGATATTTTATTAGATATTGCAATGTTAGTATTACTATGTTTTCATATTAGAATGGAAGGTTGTAGAGGTTTTTTTTTTTTTTTAAGTAAGTGGCAACTACCACTTACTTCTTGTTAAATATCTTAAAATTTAGGGCTGTTAATACCCTTTTAAAAGTTTAACTTTGATTCAACTTATGGTGCCGGACACACTAATTAAAAAAATAATTAATCCAAACAAATCTAATTCATATTCAAAGATCAATCAAATAAACAATCGTATATCATATCTATCAATCAGTCGTAGAGTGGTATTGGTTTAGTACAAGGGCGCGTTGCGAAGCCCACTAGGGAAAAATCAATAACCTAAATTCAATAAAACTCCATGTTTTTTAAAAGCCTACCGGCTCAAACAAATGGAGGGCATGACAGACCACAGTAAATTATACACTAAATTAAACAAATGGAACATGAAATATATATCAAACACATTTATTAATTATAGAATATTATTATATTACTAAATAAGGGACAACTGATCAGTAATCTAACCACATATTTTACCATGAAAAGTAACACATAGTGTCACACGCAATTACAGCTTACAAAAATTAATATTCCTTAAGATGAAAAATAACACATATCTCATTCCAAAATTAACATACTCATATTAATTTTTAAGTTTACTATTTCTGACACTCAATAGCTCACTAATTAAGATGGTAAAACAAATTTTTAACCCTTCATTTACTGACTTTAAATTAATTGGTCATTATTCAAAATATTCAAATCATTTAGTAGTTTACATATATAAAATGAAATAATTTTCGTTTAAGAAATTTGAAAAGATACAGAGGTAGAAAAAAAATCACTCACGAAGTGAAGTCCATACCGCACACTCCCATTACTCGGGAATACCTTCGTATACTGAATACTGATTAATAAGGCGATTTGACAGCTCCACAGATCGTCCAGCGTCCAAAGTTTACTCGAGCACCACATTATTCCTTCTGTCCCTTATTCACAAAATCCTCGTTAAAAAATAGACGCAGCTGACACAGGCAGAATAAACAGCAACGTACAAGTCAAAGTCGGGAAAAACAGGAATTCCGCATCAATATCACCACGAGAATCTGCATTACAATTCTTGGAACAAGAGAATCGAAATTCTATGCTGAACTCTACGCCTCATGCCAACGCAAATTCTCGCCAGCTGAACGCCGAGAGAAAATCATATCCGCTGCTAGGCAGGACCGCAACAGAACAAACGTCCCGATCTTTTTTTTCAGCTTAACTTAACATCTCAGGACTGAAATCAGACTCCAAATCCGACGCAATAGCCGGCTCTCGCGAGAGCAAGACCCGAAAGTGGTCAAGCCCCCCCCTCTTCCTCTCCTTCCTGTTAACTTGAAAATCAGAATCAGTCTAATGAACTCTGGCCTGGTGCAAGCACACAGGAAATCTCAGTTTGTCCGCCTCTGTGAGTTCATAGGCTTTCAAAAATCATAAAATTAAAATCACACCAATACCGGAATTTTACGTTATCTAAACTGAGAAAATGACACACCCATGACGAATCAAACACCAGAAAATCTGACAATGCAGTCCGAAAAACATCTGTACACACAACGTGAGAAAAAGTGTACCCCTCAACTAACAAGTGGAACTAAGCTTTACGAGAATCCAATTAGCTAAGCTTAGTTCAACCCCACTGTCTTGAAGTAAGCAAAACTTCAACTTTAACAAAGCGAAAGGAAGACGATTTTCGTTTCAAACACCATTAGTAAAAGGCGACAACACAACACCCTACTGCCGCCATTGTTAGTAAAAAGGCCATAAACTAATAAACCAGATGTGTTTCCTTGCAACCGTCTCTCGCCATTGTTGTAATTCCTACTCAAGTATAACGAGTTAAATAAGAGCTTAAGAATACTTTTTTCCGGATAAAAATATACATGATTACAAATAAAAATACTAGAATAATAATAACTTAAAACACATATTAATAATTAAAATAGGCGTTATAACATTCCTTCCCCCGCGCACCAGGGAAAAAAATTTTGAGCATCAAATTTCTTTTTCAAAACAAAACAGCATTTTCAAAATAGTAGCAAATTAAGTGCCACACTAATAATCAACTCAGAACTAGTTGTCAAGGAGAGCAGTGATAAAAAAAATTAAAATTTACTTACAAAGCATTAAGTTTAAGGAATTAAATTCAAAATCTAAATACAACTCGTATAACCAATTAAACAGCAGCAGGAGTGAAGTGTCATAAAATCCATTTGCAAAAACAAGTTAATAAAAGCACACAAGCCAAAAAAAAAAAAAAAAAGAAGCAGAAGGGAAAAAATAATTTTCATAAACTTACTTGAAACAAGGAAGTGAAAATTTCGTACCAGCCGAAAAAATCCTTGAATGCAAAACACTATTGTGTAAAGAACTCGAAACCGAACCTAAAAGACATTCACACAAATGCAGACTACTCTTAGACCAAACCAGTTGCAAAATACGGAGGAAAAAACTTAAATGCTCTTTCGAGAAAACAAAGCTAACACTAAAAAAAATTGGAATTCAAATTCATAAACAATTCAAGATCAAACAAAAAAAATTAATTCTGAAATTAGTCAGCATAAATTAAACAAAAACTGAACTGAAGCAGGTTACACACACAGAGAATTTCTCGTAAACAAGAAAGTGTCCAACAAAAGGGTTTGCCACAATTTAGAAGAAAACCAACCTACATCATGGTTTAAAAAGAAGTGAGTCACAACGAAGAACAGTTGTTATCCATACCCTTCACTGACATGAAGAACCATAGAGCCATCAAACCATAGCCATGTAAGTAGGAAGAGTAAGGCAATTTAATGAACAATACTTGCAATTCAATGCCTTCCCTAAACAAACCACCAGCCCAGTTAAAAATGTACTCGGAATCCACGTCTAGTTAAAAGGTGATGTACCGAACTAAGACTGTAATCAAGCACAACTAGTATGAACGACACAAAATAGTTCTCAAAAGTCTAGTTCCTGGAGAGTAACTAATGAAGATGAAGAGTATGCATTGCACTCTAGGTAGCAATCGTAAGCATGACAACTTCACAACAAGACTACAAAACATGCAGGCACAAAAATACAAAAGCAGACAAGAGGGAAGTGCTTACACACACACACACACACACACACACACACACACACACACACACACACACACACACACAAAAAAAAAAAAAAAAAAAAAAAAAAAAAAAAAATCAAACTTCTCAAAATTTCAAAATCCATAATCTCACAAAATTCAATTCTATACTTCTTAAACCACTTCAAAACTAAACTCCTTGAAATACACTAAGCCTCAAGAGCAATCACAATTTGTCATTAATCACACAGCGTCAACCGAAAACCAGAAAAAAAAAAAAAATTCTTGAAAGGCAACCAACTTGAAAACAGAAACTCAATACAAAACTCAGTGGAGTTAATTACTCTTAATATTTCAAAATCAATTCAAAATTCTTCTAAAATCTCCACAACACTAAACTCACATAAGTAATTTCTAATTCCACAAAATCAAGCTTAACTTCTCAAAACAAATTTTCACTTCCACTAGTATCAAAGTTTAAATTTCCAAAATACATTTCGCATCCACTTTTAAAGTTACTACAACACTGCGACAAGTTCAGCCAAAGAAAAAAAAATAAATTCAAAACCAAAACAATAAAACTATTGAAGCTCAAAAATTGAAAAAGTCAAAAAAAAAAATTAGATCACTGTTAAAACAAATGTTACACAACTCGCTAGTAAACTCACTATGAAACTACCATTAAAACTACTTGAAAAGCCAACAATATGAGTAAAGAGCAAGAATAATATCTTTTATTATCTGCATACATTTCTAAAATTCCAAACAAAACCAGCTCTACCTTTCCAAAAAAAATTTTTTTTTTCAAAATTCACAACTCACAATTGCTGTAAAACACAAAACTCACTATTCTACTGTTTTCAGACATTTCTCAGACAACAATAAATGTTCACAAAACTCACAACTAGGTAGAAAATTAATTACTCAAACTCAGAAAAGCTAAACAAGAAACTTCACTCCCGCTGAAAACTAACTTCCTAAAAAAATTCAATAACTCCCTAAGTAAACTATCACTCGTCCTGCGCAACTTTACAAATCTAACCAAATTTAACTTTAAGAAACACACATTTCAGATTTTTCCAAAAAAATTCGAAATCAAAATTTTAACTCATTTCTATTAGGCACAAATTTCATAAGATCTATTAACACACTTCAAGAAGTTAGAAACAAAATACTATTTCTCGAACACAAAAATACTGCTCTGACATTAAATGAATTAATTAAAAATTAGAAATCTCCAAAGCAATTATTCAAAATGCAATAAGCAAAATCAACTCATTAACACAAACGCAATTCTCACCAAAAACTTTAAACTAAATGATAAATGGATCAAACATCTAGTTGAGCGCAAAACATTTTTCATCATTTATAATCAAAAATGTAATATTCATACACATAAAAACAAAATAGAAATCAAATATAAAACAATACTCAAATAATATGCACAAAAAGTTTTTCTAGTGGTCTGCCAGTCGCGAGGTCACGGCACCATTGTTGAATATCTTAGAATTTATTGTGTTTTAATACCTTTTTAAAACTTTAACTCAACTTATGGTGCTGGACAAATTAACAAAAAAATAATATAATCCATTCAAATCTAATTCATAATATTCAAAGACCAATCAAATAAACAATCGTATATCATATCTATCGATCAATCGTAGATTGGTATTGGTTTAGTGCAAGGGCGCGTTGCGAAGCCCACTAGGGAAAAATCAATAACCTAAATTCAATAAAACTCCATGTTTCTTAAAATCCTCCCGGCTCAAACAAATGGAAGGACATGACAGATCACAGTAAATTATACACTAAATTAAACAAATGGAACATAAAATATATATCAAACACATTTATTATGTCTAGAATAAAATTATATTACTAAATAATGGATAACTGATCAGTATTCCTACCACATATTTTACTATGAAACGTAACACATAATGTCACTCGCAATTACAGCTTACAAAAATTAATATACCTTAAGATGGAAAATAACACATATCTCATTCCAAAATTAACATACTCATATTAATTTGTAAGTTTACTATTTTTGACATTTAATACCTCACTAATTAAGCTGGTAAAACAAATCTTTAAACCTTCATTTACAGACTTTAAATTAATTGGCCATTATTTAAAATATTCTAATAATTTGGTAGTTTACATATATAAAATAAAATAATTTTCGTTTAAGTAATTTGAAAAGATAGAAAGGTAGAAAAAAAAATCACTCACGGAGTGAAGTCCATGCCGCACACTCCCATTACTCGGGAATACCTTCGTATACTGCATACTGATTAATAAGGCGATTTGACAGCTCCACAGATCGTCCAGCGTCCAAAGTTTACTCGAGCACCACATTAATCCTTCTGTCACCTTATTCACAAAATCCTCGTTAATGAAGACAGACAGTTCTTGCGAATTTTAAAGATGAGTTGGTTGAAACACCACTGAAGATGTCCTTACAATTAATAAATTCCAGAGCATGGAATGATAAAAAATCGACGCAGCTGACACAGGCAAAATAAACAACAACACTTGTCGCTTGTCTTCCGCAGTGATGTAAAGACTGAAAAGATGAATATACTAAAAATTACCCTGCTGAATAAAATTTTTGCAAATTTAAAATAACAGTAGTAGCAAAATATAAATTTATTCTATACTTATTTTTATACTCTAGAACAAAGCTAGTTTTATATGGAACCTAGAGGTGAAAACGACAGTATTTCTTCTGTGATTGGCACATGATCATTATTCTTAAAGTAATCTGTGCTTTTGAAACCCTCTGTCATACGGTCAAATTGCAGAATGAATATTGTAATAAAAAACTTATAATATTTATATAACTGTCATAATAATAAAGTCAAAGTTGGGAAAAACAGGAATACCGCATCAGGATCACCACGAGAATCTGCATTACAATTCTTAGAACAAGAGAATCGAAATTCTATGCTGAACTCTACGCTTTATGCCAACGCAAATTCTCGCCAGCTGAACGCCGAGAGAAAATCATATCCGCTGCTAAGGCAAGACCGCAACAGGACAAACGTCCCGATCTTTTTTTTTTTTTTTTTTTTTTTTTTTTTTTTTTTTTTTTTCAGCTTAACTTCACATCGCAGGACTGAAATCAGACTCCAAATCCGACGCAATAGCCGACTTTCGCGAGAGCAAGACCCGAAAGGGGTCAAACCACCACTCTTTCTCTCTTTCCTGTTAGCTTGAAAATCAGAATCAGACTAATGAACTCTAGCCTGGTGCAAGCACCCAGGAAATCTCGGTTTCTCCGCCTCTGTGAGTTCATAGGCTTTCAAAAATCATAAAATTAAAATCACGCCAATGCCGAAATTTTACGTTATCTAAACTGAGAAAATGACACACCCATGACGAATCAAACACCAGAAAATCTGACAATGCAGTCCGAAAAAATCTGTACACACAACGTGAGAAAAAGTGTACCCCCAACTAACAAGCGGAACTAAGCTTTACGAGATTCCAATTAGCTAAGCTTAGTTCAACCCCACTGTCTTGAAGTAAGTAAAACTTCAACTTTAACAAAGCGAAAGGAAAACGATTTTCGTTTCAAACACCATTAGTAAAAGGCGAAAACACAACACCCTACTGCCGCCATTGTTAGTAAAAAGGCCATAAACCAATAAACCAGATGTGTTTCCTCACAACCGTCTCTCGCCTTTGTTACAATTCCTACTCAAGAATAACGAGTTAAATAAAACCTTAAGAGCTTAAGAATACTTTTTTCCAGATTAAAATATGCATGAATACAAATAAAAATATTACAATAATAATAACTTAAAACACATACTAATAATTAAAATTCGCGACATAACATTCTTAAAACCTGTAGTTTATCCGTAACTACTTTTCATTTTCTGTGTTCTTATTGTTACCGCTACCTTCGGAAATGAACTTATTTGCATAATTTTCCCCTCTCCATTTTCGGGCGATGAAATTAGTAAAATAAAAAAAGGGCACTGATGCATGCGCAAATAAGGTATATAACAAGCTGATATAAAATGTTTACCATTTAGAATAAATGTGATCGCATTTTATTTCAGTGATTATTGAATGCCTAATGAATATAATATTAACATTTTAAAATACATCTTAATAAATTAATGGAATCCTTTCTAATTAAAATTTAATGTGTTTCTTTAGTTTATTATACTGGTGGCTCTACCAAGCAGCCAAGGTGTATCCGGTCCATACCGAAGCATGGTTCCATTAGGAAGCATGGTTCTCCAACCGAATTAGGAATTATTCGGCCTGTTTCGAAGCTCAGCGGTTCCCCAACGGAATTCGATCAAAGAACAATTGATTCTAATTTATAGCAAAAGCCAGCAGTTTCATTAAATATCTCTTCCAGAGGTATGTGATCTATCAGCACATGATTATAATTACTCTAATCTCTGAAATTTTAAAATTAGTTGATAAATGTTTGAATTTCATCTAAATTATGTACAGTTTTGGAAGTTCTTCAAGGTATACAGCTAATAATTGTATTGGCTGTGACTTATCGCTTATCTTCCGCAGTGATGAAAAGACTGAAAAGATGAATATACTAAAAATTACCCTGCTGAATAAAATTTTTGCAAATTTAAAATAACAGTAGTAGCAAAATATAAATTTATTCTATATTTATTTTTATACTCTAGAACAAAGCTAGTTTTATATGGAACCTAGAGGTGAAAACGAGTTTTTCTTCTGTGATTGGCACATGATCATTATTCTTAAAGTAATCTGTGCTTTTGAAACCCTCTGTTATATGGTCAAATTGCAGAATGAATATTGTAATAAAAAACTTTTAATATTTATATAACTGTCATAATAATAATTATATAACGGTTAGAGTATAATTATATATATTTGTGCTGGATAATATTTTAACAAAGGTTTTCAGGAATTCGCCATTAATTTTAAGTTTCGTTTTATAAGTAACTTTTATGATTGCATTAACATTTATTTGTTTAAATATTCTTTGCATTCAATTTAAGTGAAATTATTTATAATGGATCTAGAATACATTCATAAGTCATAGCATCTTATTCAGTAATAACTAATTAATCGTTTTAAAGAGTAACCTTACATTTATTTATGAAGAAAGAAAGTAAATATTAAAATATTAACTACCTTTAAAATATCAAAACAAACTAAAAACTTCAGAATTTTCCAAAAGCTCATTAATTACTTGTGAATTAAATTACTTGTGATCTTAAGAATCTTAGTCAAACCAAACGCTCAGTAGCTTACTAATTAAGTAGCTTGTGATCCTAAGAATTTGTTAGCTTATTTCGATGTCTTTATGTTATATTGCTTTGTGTTACAGATATTAAAATATTTTAAATAAACATAAAGGTAAAATAGCTTATTCATCATCAACATAATATTTTAGCATGTACTGAGGATTATACAGTTAGTCAAAATTTCTTGAAATTCTGACCAGGAGTTTCAAAGAAATCATGCATCAGAAAAAAAAAATTGCAGTTTCTAGGAAACTTTTCTTTAAGGTATATTACCATTAAATCCTGTAAATGAACATAGTTTTCATAACATTAATAACGAAATACAAAAATATACTTATAAGTTTGTAAGTATGTAATAATATGGCATATATAACCATCGTAAATTTAACAGAAATATAAGAGTTTTAAAGTCAAAATTTTCATATATTTCAAATTTAATTGTAATTCTAAAAACTGCTATATTAGAATTGCAACGGCCATTTTATGCAGGGATACAGTACAATAATTGGCTATTGTATATCAATAGTTTAATTGTGTATCAATGAATCAATAATTCTGTATCAATAAGTTATTTTTCGATCATTCGTATATATATAAAAGAGTTTAACTAAAACGTTCTGAATGTAGTTCAGGGATTTAGTATGAGGAATATTTTGATGTGCAAATGAAAAAAAAATGCTTCCTTTCACTAAAAGCTTATTAATATTTTCAATAACTTCGTTTCTTAAAATAAATTTTACATTGGGATGGTTTTAAAATTCTTATACGAAAGTGGTTTTTAATATAAAAACACAAAAAATAGATTTTTTTTTTATTTCTTAAATTTGTTTGACTCCTTAATAGATTGCGACAGTTAATGGCAGTTTATAAATGACCAGGTTGGCAATAAATTAGTGACCACCTTTATTTTTAGTCTAGTTTAATTCGTGGGAAATTTTTAGCTACAAAATTGATGAAGTAAGTAGTATGCTACATGAAAACACATGACAATAACAACCATTAACTACGTTTTTAAAATTACAGATTTTAGGTATCCTCCCTTAAATCGTAAGCATTTCTGACAATGAACTAACATGCCATCCATAACTTTAGCAAGTATTTCTTTCGATATCAAGTAATTTATTTTCTTATGGCAGCTTTCAGATTGCCTACATTGTTTGATTTGTTGACATAGACTTCAAATAACCCCATAAAAAATCTGGAACGGTTAAGTCTGAGGAACGAAGCGGCCAGTTAGTGTCACCAAAACGAGAATGACCACATAATTGGGAAATATCAGTTGCAGTAATTTCCTCGTTTCAAGACCCGTGTGGCTTGTTGTACCATCTTGATGAAAGATTATGTCCCTAACATTGGGGTTTTTAACAATGCCTGTAACGATCAAAATTAACAGTCACAGCAACACCATTTCTGCTTTCAAAAAAACAGGCCTATTATCCATGATCGTGATATTGTTCGTCGTATTGAAATTTTTGTACAGTGTTAAAGGCATTCATGAATCTCGAATGCGCTTTGTCCACATTCTCACAATCTGGTTATATAGGTAACTGGATAAGTAAAATTGTGTTTCGTCAGTAATTATGAGCTTCTAATTAGTTAAATTCAATCTAATCATAGTGCTGCATAGCGCAAAATGACGTTGCGAATCAGCTGGTTTCAGTTTGCGAGGTACCTGGAATTTGTATGGAAACAAGTTGAGATTTTTCGTCATAATGTCGCGCACACTTTCTATTTGTTGAGTGCACTTCTCTCCCTTTCAATGGTTTCTTCATTGCGTACAGATCTACGCTCTCCGTATGTATAGCCTCCATTACAATATCTCTGTTCCTATGGGTTACAGACGAAAACATCACGGCAAAAACATCGTAGACGAAGACGTCGTGGAGAAAACAACGGAAGGTGAAAACGTCCTGATACAAAACATCGTAGGAGAAAATAAAGCAAAGAGAAGAAAACATCTCAGATCTAAAAAATCGTGATACAAAATATCGTCGTCGATAATACAGCAGTTCAAAAACTTCGCAATTTAAAAACATCTTCGTCGAAAAAAACGTGGTAAAAAATAAAGTACCTAAAAATCATCGCATGGCGATAACATCGCACACATGCGTTTTTCAAACCCAATACTGACATATTACGTACATGACTACATTTATTACATGACTTTCATCATAACTAACAAATCGTCATCCAAAAAATTGACTGCACGCTATACATGAAACTGTTAACGACAATTTAAGAATAAACGAAAAAAATATATAATTTTTACTAAAACAATACCAGATTAACAAATTTGTAAGAAAATAATTTGATAATTCACGAAGCAATTTTTGTAGTACATCATGCAGTTACTTAACTTCCTTTTCCTAAGCCTTTTTTTGACTGTATTTTTCATAAAATATATCACTAAACTTTAAAAAAAGGTTAATTTATGATTGACATTTATTAATTAATTATGCAATTTTAAAATTTTGTTAATTTCTAAAAGTTACATAATTTTCTACTCATTTTCAATTTTAAATGCTTAAGTTTCCTTCTTATTTTATCAGTAAAAAAAAATATTAGTTCATTCAAAAATATGAAGTATGAAAGTAAAAGAATCCCTCTTTCTTTCTTGCGCTTCTAAATTATTATGCATTCACAACAATCATTATGCATCTGAACATGCATTTACAATTTTTGCAACAACATGCGATAATTTGTTAAGTACTTAATATTTTACCGCGATATTTTCGGCGACGATGTTTTTAAACTGCGAAATTTTTTAACCGCTTTATTTTTTATGACCATATTTTGTACTTCGATGTTTTTAGAATTGCGATGTTTCCTCTTTGCTTTCTTTTCTCCCACGATGTTTTGTACCACTTACATAACATTTGAATACTATATAAACTACATCAAATTGCAAATAACAATTAATGTTTAAACACATTAAATCAAGTTATAAAGTAATTACTAAATAAGAAACATTATACCAAATCAAAATTCGCAATAATCATATAAACTAAACTACATTTAACAACAATCAATAAAGATACTCAGAAGATGACATATGTGCAAACAATAAATCAGATTATTACACAGTAAATCTTTACTACTAATTATGCACTTCAAGGTTGTACAGCAATTGTACTGGCCTCTTAAGATTACCTGTTTGAGTTTTTATGAGACAAGAACAAACCTGACCATCTCTGCCAGGATAAGTTTCTATTGTCTTACCTAGTGTCCACAAATTCCTAGGTAAGCGGTCGTCATGTACAAGGACCACGTCATGAACATTAAACTGACCAGACACTTTAGTAGGTGGACATTAATTCACAGATCTTAAAGAAAGCAAGTAATCCTTCCTCCACCTATTCCAAAAGTGGTTTAACAAGGTTTGTTTATGTTTATACCTTTTGATCAAGGAATGTCTAGACCCAAGTCTTCTCTGCACACTCTTGTAACTGGAAGAGAAAGTAAACGTTTACCAATTAAGAAATGAGCAGGAGTTAGCAGTGAGGGTTCTGAAAGGTCACTGTAGACATATGTTATGGGCCTTGAATTAATTATGGCTTCGATTTCTATGAAGACTGTTTTTAGCTCATTCGAACAGAGACTAGAACGTCCAACTATTTTCCTTAAACAAGTTTTGATCGTTCTAAAAATGCCTTCTCCCAGAACCCTCCCCACCATGCTCCCTTTTCCACAATAAACTTCCATGTTATACCGTGGGAGGAAAACAAATTTTGTACAGATGCATGTTGAATACGCTTCCAAATTTTTCGCAACTCGAGATCAGCACATTTGAATGTCTTGGCATTATCCGAATATATCGTTGAGCGGGAAATGAACCTGCGAAACGCAAGAATAAAATTCTCCGCGCTCATAGAAGGGACATATTCTAGATGTAAAGCTCGAGTTGTAGCACATGTAAACAAAAGCAGATAATGTTTATTCTTGCTGTCCTTTGTAAAGAAAGGACCAGCATAATCCAGTCCTGTAACAGAAAATGGAGATGATTGAAGAGCACGATCAGGTGGTAAAGGTGCGGTTTCCTGTGTACCGGCACGCACCTTGTATCGTTTACACAAAAAGCACTTTTAACGTCGACTTGACGAATTGGCGTCCTTTTATGAACCAAAA